GATAGGTTAACTATCTAAACCCCTCTACCGAAATAACATGAATCTCACAACAAATAATCGGCCCCAAATCCCCGGCGTCTCCAGAAGTGACAACACCTATTACAGTAGGCTGAATCACTTTGGAGCAAGGGCCTTATACAACGCCTAGGTGAATACTCTTAACTGTCTAACGACTTTGGCTAATCATATGAATACCGATAGACTAAAACTCTTAACATTCAATGTCAGAACTCTTCCCAGCGCAGAAAGGCTTATCGAACTTTCTTTCGACGAGGTTTATCAGAAATTCACTATTAAATATAAAATGGGACATTTCTTTCAGAGGTGAGAATAGAAGAAGAAAAGATTATAGAGAGAGAAGACTGCAAAGTTTTATCATATGGGAAACAACAGCAGTCAATATGGGGTGGGATCCTTGATAAATAAAAAGTGGTAAAATCACATCAAATTTAGAGTAGATCAGACAAAGACCCTCACCATTATCCAAAGATAAGATACGCATCAACATCAACCCAAACTGACGATGAAATGGAAGAGTTCTATGACCTCCTCAACCGAGCATGGACGGAACATAGGGGAACTTGGATGATGATTGTAGGTAATTTTAATGCAAAAATAGGTTCAAGACTGCCCTCTGACAACCAAATTATCCTAATACCACATGGTATAGATACTACAAACGAACGCGGTAAATGGTTAATGCAGTTGCTTCAAATTGAAATCTAAATATCAATAAATAATAAATTTATTTACAAAAAAACCACAACGTCGCTGGACTTGGTTTTACCCAGATGATTCCACTAAAAACGAAATAGACTGCAGCCTCTATGTGGAGTAGAGGAGTCTATTTCGTATACATAATTTTTTTCACAAATTAAGTTTATAAAAACAAATAATAACTAACGTCGAGCGACTCAACAATTTCAAATTTCAATTTAGTTCTGATCATCGACCTCTTAGGATCACAGTACAACTTAACCAGAAGATACAACGAGCACGTATGATTAAAAATTCTATTAAAAGAATAGATAAGTTTACATTGATTGCAAATAAATAACTTTTTATATTAGAATTAAAGAACAGTTTTCAAACTCTTAATTTAGATACAAATACAAGGAAATACAATATAGAAATATATCTAAATGCATAAAAACTGCAAGCCACAAAATCAAAATAGCTAATACAGAAGCAAAAATGGAGTCCTTTTACATTAAAGCTAATCGACAACCGCCAAAAACTAAACATCCAGAATATAGGGTGATAATAATAAATAAAATCCGCAATTACAACATACAATTTATAAAAACCGCTTTGGAGAAAAAAAATAGGTCCCTTAGAACCGCAATTAGAGGTACGGAAAATGCAAAAGTAACAATAAGCAACCTCAAAGACTACTCCGGAGTAAAACATACAGATAAAGAAAACATTAGGTATGTGTAAATGTTAGTACAGAATAATATAAATCTCTTTACGCTGCCGATAACAACACCCATAATATATACCTACTTATATTCAGAAAGCATCCCACTTATTGCCGGCTACGAAGTCCATCAGGGGGCTTACTCTTGAATCCAATTCCGATCGATCGACATTGGTATTATGAAATTTCGTACTCTTGAGTTGCAACACTAGCGCCCATTGCATCCGTATTGCGTGGATATTGAATGAACTATAAGATATAGAGTTTGTCTTTATATTCCGTACTCTGAATGCTATTTTAACAGCTACGATTGTGGTTGTATAGTGTTGACATTGAATAATTATTGAGATTTTATTGGATTGAAATTGCATTGACATTGAGATTGGTTTCAAGAGTAAGCCACCCAGGCCTTGCTAAGCATGAAATATACATAGTAAAACCCCGGAGGAAGATGGTCTTACCACGGAATCATTAAAAGTTAGAGAACCAATTCTGTTGCCTCCTATCACCAATCTGTTTAACTCCGCATTAAGAACCGGAAAAATACCCAAAGACTTTTGTTTGTCACTCAAACAATACACAAAAAAGGAAGAAGTCAGATTTGGCAAACTACCGTGTATCAAAGTAAAATAAATAGAATATCTTGCACATTAGACCAACATCAACCGGCCGAACAGGCATGCTTTCGACGCGGCCTCTCTACTACGGACCACCTACACTCTCTGAATAAGATTATAGAGAAATATTTCGAATTCCTCCTATATAGTGTTCATAGATTGTTCGACAGAATCACCCATTCATCAATATTCACAGCACTACACAACCAAAGCATCCACCCCACCTATATCACTTTGCTTCAGAACATTTACTGTGAAAGCACCGCAGCAATCAGACTACACAAACTCGGCCTATACTTCCCTATTTCTAAGGGAGTCAAACCAGGCGACCTGCTATCTCCGAAACTTTTCACTGCAACCCTTGAAGAGGTCTTCAAAAAGCTTGCGGCATGCTAAAATACAAGGGGTGCGGTCATAGGGTAAAGAGGTTAACAAACCTCCGTTTCGCCATACATAATACTCTTCTCATCTCAGCAGTGCCAGCCTTGAGGTTGGACTGAAGATGAACATGTCGAAGACCAACTAATGAGTAATGACCAACAGCATAAAATATAGGTTAGAGGTAGATAGCGCAGAAATGGAATACGTCCGAGAATATATCTATCTGGGCCAACTACTTTCTTTCCAGGCGAGACAAGATAGAGAAGTTCCTTGACGCACCGAAAACGCCTGGAAGGGCTATTGGTCTATGAAAGACCAAATGTAATGTAATCTTCCATTAGCGCTCAGAAGGAAACTCACGGACGTGTGCATTCTGCCCATCCTCACCTATGGCGCTCAAATTTGATTTTTGACACAACATTAGAAGTGCAAACTCAAGGTTTGCCAGCGGAACAATGAGCGCAGTATCTTAGGAGTTCAAGTATCGGACAGAATAATGAACACTACGCTGCGCTCCGCGACTTAAATCCTCGACGTTGGTCATAAAGCCGCAGGCTTAAGGGGGAACTGGGCTGGTCATGTCTGCCACATGTCAGACGAACGATGAGCAAAACTTACTACTGAGTGAAACCATCTCAACGTCAATAGACGTCGCGGCAGGCCCAAAAGAAGATGGCGGGACGAACAGGACACTATGACAAGGTTTGGCCGCAAAAAGCTTTACACAGAGAGGAGTGGAAGGAGGGTAGGTAGGCCTTTGCCCTGCAGTGGGACAATATTTTTTTTTTTATGGCATAAGCTGGTAAAAGAGCAGACGGATCACCTGATGGTAAGCAATCGGCGTCGCCCATGGACACCTGGAACACCAGAGGCGTTACAAGTACGTTACCTTACCGGCCTTTTGGGGATTAGGAGTTTGAGGATCGTTGGGGATTCAGGAATTGGGGAGATTGGGGAAGGGGAGGGTAATTGGGCCTCCGGTAACCTCACTCACACGACGAAACACAACGCAAGCGTTGCTTCACGTCGGTTTTCTGTGAGGCTGTGGTATCATTCCGGTCAAGCCGGCCCATTCGTGCCTAAGCATGGCTCTCCCACACTTGAAATGACTGATATGACTCTCATGACTCAAAATAAAATAAATAGAACTAAAACAGTTAAAAAACCAAAAGCCATAATTTATAATAAACGTTTTCTCGTAAAATGCACAGGGAAAAAAATTGTAAAACAAAACTGTTATTCGCCGCCATTTTCCTAAGATGAATTTTGAAAGAATACAAAAAAATCTACAAAGTTGCCAGTTTTTAACACTCCCGGAAAACTTCGCAGGCAACCCGCATAATTTTTAAATAATCGGACTTTTTTTTTTAAGGGGGGAAAATCATCTAATGACTGCTCCCGCCTGGGTGAGGCGGGAGGGACTGTCAGACTCTTACTGACTAAAAACCACCCCGTTCCTTCTCCTGCACGTCGAGCCGGAGCCCCGGTTACCCGTTAGGTTCTCCGCAAATGATGACTTTACATTCTAGAAAATATGTAAGTCAGTACTTACATTATATTGAATACTGTGATTTCTGAAAAAAAAAATTGGAATTTTTGCGTTGGGGCCACCGTAACCCGGGAGCCCCGTATAGACGGCACTAGCTACGACCCTGATGATATCATCAGGATGATATCTACATAGTTACTCTTTTGTCGCCACAAGGCAAATTATGGTACAAGGTTTAAATGACAATTTAATGAACAAACTCATTGAGTAACCAGTTTTAGTTCGTCGTATTTGTTAATTAAACTTATTTTATCAGTTGTAATAGGAAAAAGTCCACCACTGATTGCTTATTTAGATTTTATTTAATTATTTCTAACATTAAATAAATCAGTTTAAAGTCAACTCGTCTTGTCGACTACACGTATTTTATTTAAATAATTTTTGAAATTACGCGCGTTCGTGTGTGAATTTTGAGTTGTTTTATTACTCATTACTTACGTTCAAAAAATTTATGAACCTCTATAACAAGATTTATTTGAAATACAGGCCATAGTGCAACATAAATGTTAAAGGTGGATTTAGACTAGCGAAATTCATACGACTTTTGAATTAATATTTCTATAAATCGTTAAATGAATTAATTAAAACATAATAATTATTGTGTGGATTATTCGAAAATATAGTGAAATAATTTTATTATTCATTCATCAATCATAATAATATAAATAAAAAGTAGACTGCACATAAGTCAGTCTTACACCAAATAAAAATTTTGTCTATGGTATGCATCTACAAAAACAATAAATATTTTTGATAAAAGTGCTAAAATTTAAGATATTATTTTTAATGGTACAATTGAATTTTATTAGAAAATTAATTAATTTATGCATTTTGTACAAAGCAACACATTGCAAAATACTACATGCATGAAACGAAACGTTGTTCATAGAATGGTTTAGTCTATGGTTTGACAAGTAACCTCCATCGTCATTTCTGTACTTTTACATTATTTTATATAAAAATTCGTTTCTTTAACCTTAATTTATATAAAATAATTATATTTTTATTTTATATTAAATATTTGTGACAAAAATAAATTTTATATTTCGAAATATGATAAAAGTATAAAAAATGTTGGAATTGGTCCCGCGTGTTTCCTTCCCGCGCACGTCGTACTAGGTGGAAGTTGGTCATGGTCGTCCGCCAAACGGAAAGCCGCCATGATGGCTTTCTGTAAAGTACTCTCAATATGTAAAGTTTCGTTATTGTTTTTCATTAATTGTGACTGAGTGCGTGCAAAAATTAATCATGGGAACGAACTAGAGTGTGCAAAGTTCAGTTTACGGTCCTTTGGGACCTCCTAGTGGAGCTATAAAGTGTTTTATAAGTGCATTTTTGTGTCGACGCTAGCGTGTTTTGTTCTGTCAACAAAATGTCGAAGCTCTCGTTTAGGGCGAGGGCCCTGGATGCGTCGAAACCAATGCCCATATACCTCGCCGAGGAGCTTCCGGATTTACCGGACTACTCGGCGATTAACCGTGCTGTACCTCAGATGCCTTCTGGAATGGAAAAAGAGGAAGAAAGTGTAAGTATTTTGCGCATTTAGATGTTAAGTCATCGGAAACTACTGTGTGTCGGCCATTACGTTATGTTTCTTATTCTCGCCGCTAGGGGCGGTATAATTTCTCAGTAAATTCTTTATTTTCGAAAAATAATTAATATTTGGCTTGTTCCCACCCGTGGGAAACGCCAGAATTCGTTTTCTGGGTAAAATAATTATAAGACAACAAATGCAACGTCGTTATCTTGACTGCGAAAGTTATTGTCAAATTTTGGCGCGATAATCGAGCACATGGTTGAATTTACCGTACTGGGACTATGTATTACTCAATTGAGGATTTCTCCGTTATTTTTGAAGCTATTGAGCTGGAATTTTGGTATGTTGGGGGTGAAATTGTATATATTTGGTAGTATTAAAATGATAATAAACCGGCGGCCGGGTCATATGTTATTTGTTTACAAACAATGGATGCCGGCAAGCGCAACATTTTAATTATCGACAGTTCAAAATCTTAATAAAAATACAAAATATGAAGTGTTATAGTAGATTAAGCAATTCTATACGTGATTAATTTCATATTTTCTAATAATATCATAAATTTCGAAACTTTCTGCTACTTTCAAGAAACACTTTACTTATTTGGTGGTTTAGATTTGATTTTCAAAATTATTTTATTATGCTGAATAATACTTTCAAATTTTGAATATCGCCATTTAAATTATCTAATCAGAAAAAATATTATATTTAAAGAAAATATTATCAATTAAAGTTTTTCTTATAAAGTGTTCATAGGTATAATACATTGAGTTTCTTATCATGAACCTCCAATTATTTAGGTATTATCTTAACCCATAAATCACCAAGCGGTCACCGGTGACCGCTTTCCACTAATGTTACATTACATTATAGACCTTATTTGTAATGTTTAGAGACTACTTTTGTATGACCAAATTTAGGGGGTGGATTTCAACGGGTTAAAATATAATTAAATTACTTGAACATTGTCTAGAATAAACTGGACTTTAATATGAAAAGCTGGAGAAATCGCATTGAGCGATTGTAGTGAAACTCGGTGCAAGTGTAGCAAGTAGCTATCAACCTTAATCTCATATATTCTTACTAAATAACCCTCTTATTTACCTATATCTTTTACTAATATGAAGTTTAAAGATTAATATTCACATAATAAGGTTTTAAGATAATAATATTAACTTTTAAAATTGGTTCCGCTTGCCTACTTCTTCCTGACCTTATCCCAAGTCATTTAAATTGAACACAATATAAATGTCTTCTTTTCCATTTTCCCGTATCAGAAGTCATCATATCACAATATCCTTATTTGATTCCGATGTACTATTATGGTCCTGTATTGTTTTTCTGGACCTGATTGGAAGAAAGTAATTGGTTAATATTACTTGATATTACTCTATCTAACATGATTTATGATATTTTTAACTGACTTCAAAAGAAGGAGATTCACAGTTTGACCTTTATGGTTGTTTGTGCGTTATTATTTCGCGATTGGCTGAACCGATTGATGTAGGTTTCAGTCAGAAATGTGTTTGTTATACTTGGGAGATGGTTTAAGTTTATTAATCAACCGACATTCAATAAAGAGGGGTTGATGTTGGATTTTTTGTATAAAAGAATTATTAACTCGTCGAGTACCGGTTTTGTAGACACAATTATAGAACAATAGGTTGCGGTCACCGGTGACCGCTTGGTGTTTGACAGTTTAAGTTGCTTAACACTTTTTTGGAATAATTTAAGTAGGTAGAAGTTATTTTGCTTGAAGGCAGTTCTATTATTGTTATTATAAGAGACTTTGAATGATTTTGTAGTCTAGGGTTCATGTTAAATCTATCTTACACTATTGTATAAAACTGAAGTTTGTTTGAACACGTTCAGCCTAACCTCAGGAACTTTTGGTCCAATTTGAAAAATTATTTTTTATGTTGGATAGCCTAATGTATCGAGGAAGGCTATAGGCTATAAACCATCGTACTACGATCAATAGGGGCGCCTATCGGGGCGAGCGGAACTGCGTGGAAGTAGCTAGTATGTAATAATAAGAATATTTTTTCTATTAAGGTTTTTTATTTACAAAATACCTTCAAAGCAATAATTTTTTTTTTCACATTCAAATAGTGTTATTTTTATGTGCCAATCGGTATTGTAGCATTAGCATTGAATTAACTAATTACTTAAAATGTATAGGTACCCACATGCAGTACTTAATTTAAAATTATGATTTTAAGTGCCTATCTAGGTAGGTACATAATGTTATAAATGTATAAATATTCCTATTTTTTTACATAATTTCGAACGTAACAGAATTTTTCTTTGTTTTTTTATCTCGAAATGTGTTTACTAACACAAAAAGCTTTCGCGCACAATGCTGGCAGCTGAAGGGATGGACGGTCAGCCCTGCCGTGGCATCGTTCGAAATTCGAATCCTCATCACTACAAAAAAAGGTTTCAAAAAAAAGGGTCGGCTCCGTGCGGATACGGGCAACGGCGCGGCGTGGGCTAGAGAGAGCACGTTTTTATTTTCTTTTTCAAAATATCTACTTCGTCTGGGTCGTCTTGTATCGTTCTATGATTTGAAATAGCATTTGCTTTTATTTGAATTTAGTATTATAACGACTTCTTAGTTCTCAGATGAGTAAATAGAAGTGCAAATACGTCAGTTATGTTAATAGTCTTAAGTAATGTAAAAGCCGGGCACAAAAAGTTATTTGAAAGCTACTTCTGAAAGCAGAATACTTACCCACATATTTTAATTTAGTAACTAACCCTATAATAATTAAAAATAACCATTTTTAAACCTGGGTGCAGCTCATTCCCAAACGAATTTGTTTATATAATGGTTAATACGCGTTTTATTAGGTAGTAGTAGTACATAGTTTAACTCGTCGAGTACCGGTTTTGTAGACACAATTATAGAACAATAGGTTGCGGTCACCGGTGACCGCTTGGTGTTTGACAGTTTAAGGTCGTATATGTTTATTTTTAATATGATGACCTCATGGCGCCAGTTAGCACATTAGTGTACTGACAGTAGTCATAGTACTTACTTTTTCATTTAGAACTAGCTTTTGACTGAGACTTTGTTTGCGTACAATTTATTTTTCTAGTCTATAACCTTACTCAAGGTCTATTCTATCTTTGTACCGAAGTTCGTCAAATTTAGTTCAGCCTTAGTAAGTAACAAATAGACAAAGATATTTGTAATATTAGTAGGATTGTGATATTGACCAGTTTTCGGGGATACGTGGTACAGGTAGTTTAAAATATTGTACCTAGATACAATACTTTTTTTTATCGGTTTATGTTCGTACGAAGGTATTGTTTTTTTTGTTCACAGTAGGTACCCGCTGTCTATTTTTTGTAGGATAGGATGGTATACGTACCTACTTATAATAGTTATAATTGACTGAACGTAGGTATTAGTATGCCTCCTTAAATTCGTTACACAAAATAAGTTAACCTTAGTTGTATGGTACCATGGTATGGGTGAGCTATGCTTCGGCACTAATGGGCCGGCTCGACCGGAGTGATACCACGGCCGAACAGAACATTGATGTGAAACAACACTTGCGTTGTGTTTCGTCGTGTGAGTGAGGTTACCAGATGCCCAATTCCCCCTTTCCTAATATTTCCAATCGCCAAATCCCCATCAATCCTAATTCCAAAAAAGCCGGTAACGCACTTGTAACGCTTCTGGTGTTTCATGTGACCATGGGTGGCGCCGATTGCTTAGCATCAAGTGATTCGTCTGCTCGTTTACCGGCTTATTCCATAAAAAAAAAACATTTAGTTAAGTAGGTACCTACCTACAAGTGTGAGTATTCTCAGAAATTCTGAAATAGTAAGAATAGTACCTTAATTTCTCTACGTTCGGCAATAATAGACTCTAATACAATAACATTAGACACAAAACACAAGAGTCTCTGTCGAGATACGAGACAATAAAACCCGTAATGATATCCAATGACCGGATTTCATGAACAAGCCGTGATACGCACAGTCCAATGATTGTCCTCGTTGACTCATACATTATTCCAAGTCACAATCGTTTGTATGTCTGTCTGTCTGATGCAAATATTTATGATGAAAGAGTAATTTGATTTCTTTGAGTTAAGTGAGATTGTTAAGATGAGATATAAAGCATTGATTGAATGCATTTCTGTGTAGTTAATATGGATGTACGATATGATTTGTAGGTATTTTGTTCGAATTTATGATTGCCAAAATGCCTCTTTATCTTCGAAAAGATGTATATAGCAGATTTTAATTAATGTTACACCCCATTTTGAATATAGCTATGTTTTGAGTTTCTAATTAAATAATGATTGTGACGACCACGTTTAAAATACCATAACAGGATAAATATTGATATAAAAAACTTATAATTTTCCTCATTCAGAAAATTATCGTTTCAATCTTAAAAAAGTAATTATAGAAGTGAGAAAGTACTTAAAAATATTACTTTTCATTCTCCCAGAGAAAATAAACAAGTTTTGTATCGAAATATCGACCTTCTCCGTAAAGTAAATTAGCAAAATAAGGATTCGTATTCGTTCACAATATTCTATTTTTAAAGTGCTTTAGGTATAAAAACATGTAGGTTTTGTTTAGTACGTCTACGTACCTACGTCATTTGAAATCTAAATTATTAATGTATTGATTGACGACAGTATGTTTGAGTAATGTCGTTGTTTCTCATTTATCATTTTTATTCCGTTTTCCAAGAATATTTTTATTGAATCCTACCAGTATTAGTAATACGCTGTGTGGTGTGTGTTTTTGTTTATTACTCGTTTACACCGAAAGTACTGGACGGATTCAGGTGAAACTTGGCACAAAGATAGGTTAAAGTTTTGAAAAAACACATGTCTATTTTTGCAACTCGACACTCAACGAGAAAATTTAAACTGACAATTTTGAAAAATAAAATTGTCGCTCACAAAAATGTGTCATCTTATCCCAGAAATGGAATTTAACATTAACAAATTAAAGAA